GGGGGCGGAGCGGGTGGGGCCCCCCCCTGGGGCTCCCTCTCTCTCTCTCTCTCTCTCTCTCTCTCTCGCCTGGCCCTCTGCCCCTCCCGCCTCGGTGCGCACACGTGGGGCCCGAGGAAGATGGCGTCGCCCATGGCAGGTCAGGCTGGGACAGCGCGACGGCTCTTGGCGTTGCACAGGGCTTCCCTGCTGAAGTGGCGCAACCCGGTGAGTCAAGGCCGGGCACCTCGAGGCGGCTTGCACAGGTCCAGCCGGTCGCCCGCGTTTCACGGGTCCGCTGGGGGCCGCGCAGCTCCCTTCTCCGCCTGCCCGACAGGCGTCATTTCTTACGAGCCCGAGTCACGTTGGGGTGCTGCTCTCCTCTTTTTATGGGTGCTTTTATGATCTTTGCGTGGCCTCGACCGTTTCCAGGGTATGTTTTGGAGTTTCAGGGCGCAGTCCTCTCCACCTTTGCTCCAAATGCAGCCCCATTGACTCCAGAGAGATTTCTTGCAGGGACCATGTGTCTGCAGCTTTCGCTTCGTAGGATCCTAGCCTACCGAGGACTATTCCCTTTAACAGATGTGCCAGATGGGTTTTTGTGTCTCAGGGACAAGGAAAAAGTACACCATGCATGCCCAGAAACACTTTATTGTGTCCGTTCTTACAGTGAGTTTTGGTTTAAGGAATTTTACCCAGATTAAGGGTTTAATCTCTTCCAGGATTTGTTGATTTAACCTGTTACCCTTCTGTTGTGCATGCTGGTATTGCTGTTATGTCCCATCAACTTATTTCCAACTTATGTTGACCCTAAAAGAGCTTTCGAGCTGTATGAGATGTTCAAAAAGGGATTTACCACTGCCAGCCTCCATGTGTTTCTAGTGCCGGTCAGGGATTTGAACCCAGGTCTTTCCAATCCTAAACGAATGCCCTGTCTGCTACAGTACATTATGCCACAAGGGCTCTTAATGTTTCTACTGAAAATCTTTCAAATAATTGGCCTCCTGTTTCAAGGTATGGAAGAGATGGCCTGGAGAGCGAGATGTCTTTGCTGAGCAATCACCTTTTTCTCCCCAGAAATAATACAACCCTTCCCAGCCTGCCTATAGCCCAGAAGGGCAGTTTTTCTCTCCCAGCTCATTCCTTGAGTCCTTCTTCTTTGAATGCCCTGGAGGAGTTCAGGAGCAGTTATGGCTGCCTTTCCTCTCCCGGTGGCATGGTACTTGCCACTGTCCGCCTTTTTTGGGTGCCCCAGTGGCACAGGACAAGAGAGTGGGTAAGTAATTGTTTTGTGCAGTTTTTGAGGCCCACGTGCTGATCTAAGTAGATCACCATCTGTGGGAGATTGAACCAAGAGCAGGTTCTGCATCCGTTGTCTCCTCGGGCAGAGGATTGGTAGGGTGGAAGCCTTGCCAGCCCAGACCTCTCCGCAGGACAAGCAAGAGATGCAGAAGGCAGGTGAGTGTGAACGAGTGTAGCTTGCACACCCTGAAAGGCAAGGGTGACTGGAAGGAGGGTGGGCATCATTCCCTCACCTAAGGGGAGAGGGCAGGTGAGCGAGCAAGAGTGGTGTGAAGTTTAGGACACTGGTTCTTAACCTTGGGTTACTCAGGAGTTTTGGACTGCAACTCCCAGAAGCCTTCACCACCAGCTGTGCTGACTGGGGTTTCTGGGAGTTGCAGTTCAAAAGCATCCGAGTAATAAAGGTTAAGAACCACTGGTTTAGGATATACATTTATATAGATAGATATGTATGTATGTATTTTTGGCCCACAGTTTTCAGAATTCCCCAGGTAGCGTTAACTCTGCAGTGATTCCGGGAGGGACAGTAAAAAGTAAATACTAGGCCTGCTTCAAAGCGGAGCTCACAGGCTTGCTCTGGGCAAGGGAAGGTGGCAACCGTTGTTACAACTGGCAGTGCTGGGGAAGGAAGGGGATGTTTCCCAAGAAACCCCTCCGCACATTGACGGGAGGGACTCCGGATGGAGGATATGCCCTGCTGTACTGTTTTCGTCCTCCTCCTCTTCTGGCGAGGAGCCTTGTGGTGCTGTGGTTAAACTGCAGTATTGCAGCTGAAACTCTGCTCATGACCCATCTAGGCGTCTTGAGGTAGACTCAGCCTTTCAGCCACCCAAGGTTGGTAAATTGAGTACCGGCGTGGGGGCAGTGTGTAGCCTGCATAATTAAATTGTAAACTGTCCCAAGAGTGCTTTAAGCGCTGTGGGGCAGTATATAAGCAGCACTTTTTCTTCTTCTTTACCACAGAATAAATAGTTGTTCTTCTGGTATTCTCACCCTTTCTCATTTTTTTGTTAATTAGGTACACTTTTCTGTTCTGAGGGTGCATCTTGATCCTGATGATGTGTTGTGGGGCTAAGGCCTGGTGCGCTCTGGCTTTTTACATGTCATAATATCTTTTCATATATCATAATACAGTGATAGCAGTGGTAATTGCATTGCTTTCCTCCCTCCCAAATATTCACAATAATTAACCCATACAATCCCTATAGGGTAAGGTTGTATAACGACCTGCTGCCTGATGAGTTCTAGGAGTTGTAGCCCCAAAATCCAAGTCTCAACAATTTAGAGCTTGGAAAAGGAACTTTTGTGGATTATAGTGCCCGGAATATTTGGGAATTATAGTCCAACACAATTGCTTTTCCAGGTTCCGCTCTTATTCCATATACAGTAGTTGGCTTCTGGCCAGACTATTTCAAGTCTGGCCAGAAACTGCCCAGGGAGTTGTGACATAAATATGCTCTCACGAGGAATAAAAGCACCGGATTCTGCCCCACCCCTGGAAAGTCTGTTTAAAATGCCATCTAGTGTATGGTGTCATTTTCTGTCTGCTTCTATGCTGTGAAGTCTCTATTTACCTGCCTGCTGAGGGCTACATAATGGCACCTAATTCCCTAATATTTTTGATGTGTTTACTTTTGCTGTAGTCCACCACTGGAATTTTTAATCATACAGGTTTCCTCCAGTACCAGGTATTCTGGTTTTATTGGAGGTTTTTTTTTTTAAATGATATTTAGGTGTTGGTTCTTTTCTGTGCATAACTAAGGACATATGGAAAATAGAAACATTTAGCTGGATGAAAGGATGCTCAAAACCACGCACCACCTGGAACAGTTAATTGATCTCGCTTGACTTTCAGTTACAATGATTTTTCTACCATAGCTGTAGGCTAAATTTTAATAACATATGTGTTTCCAACATTATATTTTATCACAAAAGAAGCAACATAGTTGTTTGTCCTTATAGTTTGGTTGTGATATAAAGATTTATTTATTTATTTAAAATATTTTTGTCCTGCATTAAAAAAGAACCAAAGGTGGCTTACATCATGAAAAGACAATATTTAAAGCTAAAATCTGTAAGTATAAAAATACTAAAGCTGTTGTCTGGATCCATATATTATTGTCTGTTGTGGCAAATGTTGTATTTCAGATTCTCATTGTATCTTCCGTAGCCTCCCCCTTAAGGGCAGTCTCAAAAATGCAAGCAACTGATTCATGGCTATATGTTCCGTTTATGTAATGCTGTACATTGTTATCTGTTTACTTTATGGCATAAAGTAGACCTAGAGCTTAAATTGATTCATTGGGCTTGCTGTGGGTGGAACTAGCAATTGGATTTTGGGCCTTTAAAAAAAAGCCTCACATACATACAGTACTTGCCTTCTGTTGCTTGCTTGAACTTAAAGGGGAAAAAAGAGACTGAAAACTGTTGACTCACTAACTGTAATTTTATTTTATTTTATTTATAAAATTTATAGACTGCCCAACATAATGAGAACACTATTCATGACGGTTTACATAATTAAGCAAAATACCGTATTTTTTGCTCTATAAGATGCACTTTTTCTCCCCCAAAACGTGGGGTAGAAAGCCTGTGCGTCTTATGGAGTGAAGGTGGTGGTTTTGCCCCCCCAGCCCCGTGGGGGGGAGAGCATCGGAAGGGTCCCAGTGAGCCTTCCAGGACCCTTCCGACGCTCCCCCCACCCCCCACGGGTCCAGCAGGGGTGAAATCGCCACCTTTTGGGGCTCTTCTGAGGCTTGAGAAGCTTCAGAAGAGCTCCAAAAGGTGGTGATTTTGCCCCCTCTGGCCCCCGGGGGAGGCAGGGTGAGTCTCCAAAGGGTCCTGGAACACACCCTAGGACCCTTTGGAGACTGACCCTGCCTCCCCTGGGGGCCAGAAGGGGCAAAATCGCCACCTTCAGGACTCTTCTGAAGCTTCCCAAGCCTCAATGCCTTGTTTGAAAATGAACATTCTTGTTTCAAAGCAGCGTCATTCTCCCCACTGAATAGTGTGCTAAGGCATGGGTGATATAAGTTGCCAACCCCTAATTTAATCACTGGGGGAACTCACCCAGGTCAGAAGGTGCTCCTGCCATGGTCACACAGAGGACGTGAAGAGTCTCGTATAGATGCTTTTCTTCAATAAGCAGTCTCATCAATGGGATGCTGAGAGGGCCTATTTGCTATTAAATAAATTAGACAATCTTTGCTTGCCTGGAATATGATCGATTGATTGTCCGTCTTAAAGCTGGCAGCTCTCCTGGGTTTCAGTATTTGATACACTGACTGGCTGACTCCATCATTTTATTTGTGCAGAAATGCTCTACCAGGAAAGTCGAAATGGGAAAGTAGAGCTCGGGGCATAAGACATCCACTGCATGCAGAAGATTCTGGGTTCGGTCCTCAACACCTCCAGTTCAAATAGCTGGAAAGATGAAAGACTTCTGCCTGAAATCTGGGAAACCTGCTGGCGGGCAAAGAAGACAAAGGGGAAAGTGCAGCCTTTCACATATTGTTGGACTGCAACCCCACCAGGCCTGACTCTACTAACAAGGGCTAAGGGGAGCTATATTAGCCCAGCATCTGCAGGGCTCCTTTGGCCCACACATGGTGCTGGGCCA